GGCCCCGCCCACTGCCCCTTCCGCCACTAACGCTTCATTCCGCGTCGCGCCGCACACCACCTCCCCCACCTCCCTCCCCGCGTCCCCAGCGCCCCAGTGGGGACTCCGCCCCGTGCCCCCTCCGCCCCGACAATTTTATTCCGCGTCGCGACGCATACCACCTCCCCCCCTCCCCCCCGTCCCCAGCGCCCCAGTTGGACCCCCGCCCCGTGGCCCTCTGCCCCAAGCCCCGCCCAGTGCCCCCTCCGCCCCGACCATGTTACTCCGCGTCGCGACGCACACCACCTCCCCCCCCTCCTCTCCGCGCCCCCAGTGCCCCAGTGGGACCTCCGCCCCGTGCCCCCTCCGCTCCGAGCACTTTATTCCGCGTCGCGACGCACGCCACCTCCCCCCCTCTCCCCACCTGGGATTTGGGCCCCGTTGCTGGGCCCCGAGGGGCGATGTCTTGCCCCCTCTTCCCACCTCCTCCTCCTCCTCCTCCACCTCCTCCTCCTCCCCCTTCCTTTTTGTGCAAGAGCCATGGCACACGTGCCACTTGTTTAATTGTGTGTCCCTGGGCCCCTTTGTAGTTCCTGGAGCCGGCCAGGCGATTTCAGTGCGGCCCTCGCGGGCAGCAGAGTCAACATGTGGTTGGTTCTGCCGTGCCAGAGGCGGGCTGGAACTTAGGCTCAGGGGGAGCGGCGCTCGCCAAGACTGGCAGCCCGCTGCCAGGACAGATGTGCAGCTGAGGCGTCTCGCCGATTCGGGGCCGAGCCTGGCCTCAAGAATCGGCCCCTGGACCCATCCTGTGGTGCGCTCTGTCTAGAATTTGTGACCGCGGGGTTCCTCTAGGAGGGCATCGACCAGACTCGAACCTCGGAGCTCGCACCTCCACGTCAAGGGGGCATGGCTTTCGGGTCATAACTTGGGTCTCATGCGGCCGCTCGGGACGATCTGGGCACCCCTGGAGCGCCCTCGGCGAGGCGCAGCTGCTGGAAAGCATCCCGAGGCTGGAAAACCTCTCGGGAACGACGACGCTCGAAAACCTCGAACCCAGGGCACATTCCATAGCGAGCTTGGGGCCTCGGACCTCGACATCGGGGACGACGATGATGAGGATGATGGTGATGATGATGATGATGATGATGATGATGATGATGATGATGATGATGATGATGATGTTGCTGATGATGATGATGTTGATGATGATGATGCTGATGACGATGATGATGCTGATGACGATGATGATGTTGATGATGAATATGATGATGATGGCGATGATGATGAGGATGCTGATGCTGATGCTGATGCTGATGATGATTATGATGATGCTGCTGATGCTGATGCTGATGCTGATGATGATACTGATGCTGATGCTGATGCTGATGCTGATGCTGATGATGATGCTGCTGCTGATGATGATGAGGAGGAGGAGCAGCAGCAGAAGGAGGAGGTGTAGGAGGAGGAGGAGGAGGAGGAGGAGGAGGAGGAGGAGGAGGAGGGGGAGGGAGGGAAGGAGGGAGGGAGGGAGGGAGGGAGGGAGGGAGAGAAAGGATGAGCATGAGGATGAGGAAACGGATGAGGATGAGGCTTCTGAGGCTGCTGAGCATAATGTGGATGATGATGCTGATGCTGATGATGCTGATGGTGATGCTGCTGCTGATGATTATATGCAGTGATGATGATGCTGATGCTGATGATGACGATGATGGTGGTGGTGGTTGTGATGATGCTAATGACGATGATGCTGATGCTGATGATGATGGCGATGGCGCTGATGATGCTGATGATGATGAGGATGATGATGACGGTGAGGACGATGCGGGTGATTTCGATGATGATTATGATGACGATGATGATGTTGATGCTGACTATGAGGATGATAATGATGACGCGGACGAGGATTCGTATGAGGATGTAGACGAGGACGATGATAATACTGCTGCTGCTGCTGATGATGATGATGGTGATGCTGATGATGATGATGAGGACGATGATGCTGTTGATGGTGCTAATGATGATACTGTTCAGAGCGGTGCTGATGGCGATGACCAGGACGATCTCGGAGACGAGACCGACGACGGCGACGATGATGATGCTGATAACGATTTCGATGATGGTCTTGTTTATACTAATGCTGATGATGCCGATGCCGATGCCAATGTAAACGATGCTGATGCTGATGATGATGATGAGGCGGTGTATCAGAATGATGATGCCGAGGATGATTCTGTTGCTGTTGGTGATGATGTCGATGACGATGGCGATGCCGATGAAGATGATGATGACGACGATTATGATGTTGATGCTGATGCTGATGATGGTGATGATGATGCTGATGATGCTGCTGATGATGCTGATGCTGATGCTGATGAGGCTGATGATGCTGCTGCTGATGATGATGATGATCATGATGATGACGAGGAGGAGGAGGAGCAGCAGGATGAGGAGGTGTAGGATGATGATGATGATGATGATGATGATGATGATGATGGTGGTGATGATGACGGTGATGATGATGATGTCGGTGACGATTCTGTTCTAATGATGATGCTGATGGTGCTGATGGTGCGATTGCTGATGATGGTGATGATGCTGCTGCTGATGATGGTGATGATGATGCTGACGATGATGATGTTGTTGATGCTGCTGCTGATGATGGTGAGGCTGATGATGCTGATGATGATGCTGCTGATGATGATGATGCTGATGATGATGATGATGCTGATGATGATGATGATGATGATGATGATGATGATGATGGTGATGATGATGATGATGTCGCTGACGATGACGCTGCTGTTGATGAAGTGGAGGCTCGAGCGGACGATGCTGATGATAGTGAGGACGAGGATGTTGCTGATGCTGATGATGCTGCTGCTGATGATGGTGACGATGGTGATGCTGATGATGCTGATGCTGATGATGATACTGATGATGCTGATGATGCGGCTGATGATGATGTTGATGATACTGACGCTGATGATGACGATGCTGATGCAGCTGATGCTGATGCTGCTGATGATGATGCTGCTGCTGAGGCTGCTGCTGGGGATTCTCATGATGCTGATGATGATGAGGATGATGATGATACTGATGAGGATGCTGCTGATGATGCTGCTAATGCTGATGCTGATGTTTCTGCTAATGATGATGCTGCTGCTGATGATGATGATGCTGATGCTGCTGATGATGATGATGACGATGATGCTGGTGATGATGATGATGATGACGATGATGATGCTGATGATGATGATGAGGATGATGATGACGCTGCTGATGATGCTGCTGATGATGATGCTGATGATGATGATGATGCTGATGATGATGATGATGAGGAGGAGGAGGATGATGATGAGGATGATGATGATGATGATGATGATGATGATGATGCTGATGATGATGATGATGATGATGATGATGATGATGATGATGATGATGATGATGATGCTGGCACAGAGTAGGATGACGAGGAGGGGTGGGGCGATGGAGGAAGGGAGGGATGGAATGGGGGGGAGGAGGAGAGAAGATTTTGCTGAGGAGGTTGATGAGGAGCATGTCGGGTAAAAGGAAGGCATAATGAAAGGATAAGGACAGGAGGAGACGATGAGGTGGGAGTAGAAGGGCGGAGCGAGGAGGGACGGAGGGAGGAAAGGAAGACGGGATGGGAGGAGGGAGGGAAGGCGGGAGGGAGGGACGAGGAGGAGCAGGAGGATGAGGAGTAGGAGGACGAGGAGGAGGAGGCGGAAGAGGGGGAGGAGGAGGATGAGGAGGAGGAGGAGGAAGAGGAGAAGGACGATGAGGAGGACGGGGGACGAGGAGTGGGGATGAGTGAGAAGGATGATGTTGCTGATGATGCTCCTTCTGATGATGGTGATAGTGATGGTGATGGTGGTGATGAGGATGATGATGCCGTTGGTGTTCTGACGATGCGAATGCGAATGAAGATGATTATGATAATGGCAACGGTAATGATGCTGATGATGATGACGATGATGATGATGCTGTGACGATGATGGCGATGATTATGTTGATGCTGACGCTGACGATGCTGACGATGCGGATGATGACGGTTCTGCTGCTGGTGGTGATGATGATGATGCGCTGCTGCTGATGCTGCTGCTGGCTGGTGACGATGATGATGATGATGATGATGATGATGATGATGATGATGATGATGATGATGATGCTGATGATGATGATGATGATGATGTTGATGATGATGATGATGCCGATGCTGATGCTAATGCTGATGCTGATGATGCTGCTGATGATGCTGATGCTGCTGGTGATGACAACGGGGATGACAATAATGTTTTCGAGGATGATGATGAGGATGATGATGCTGATGATGATGATGATGATGCTGATGCTGCTGATGATGATGATGATGATGACGATGATGATGATGATGCCGCTGCTGCTGCTGATGATGATGATGATGATATTACCTCTGCTGCTGCTGATGCTGCTGCTGATGATGATAGTGGTGGTGATGTTTGTGACGATGATGGTGGGGCCGATGATATTAACGATGATGCTGATGCTGATGCTTATGCTGATGCTGATACTGATGCTGCCGATGCTGATGCCGGTGCTGCTACTGACGATGGTGGTGGTGGGGATGATCATGATGACGCTGATGCTGATGACGATGCTATTGATGTTGTTGTTGTTGTTGTTGTTGTTGTTGTTGCTGTTGTTGTTGTTGCTGCTGTTGTAGTTGTTGATGTTGTTGTTGTTGTTGTGGTTGTTGTTGGAGATGTTGGAGATGTTGGTGATGGTGAGGATGACGATGCTGATGCTAATGGAGGAGGAGGAGGGGGAGGAGGAGGAGGAGGAGAGGAGGAGGAGGAGGAGGAAGAGGAGGCGGAGGAGGAGGAGGGGGAGGAGGAGGAGGACGAGGAGGAGGAGGAGGAGGAGTAGGAGGAGGAGGGGGAGGAGAAGGAGGAGGTAGGAGATCATGTAGGACCGAGGCCAAGGGGAGCTGGGAGGCCTGAGGAGCGGGCCCGGGACCGCAGGAGCGGCTGGGCGAGCCGGACGCGGATCTGCGGCACGGGCGGTGCTTCGCGGTCTCCCGCGGCGGCCCCGTGGGGTCTGCGGGGCACAAGGGGCTGCCCGCGCGGAAGAGCAAGGCGCTGCAGGAGCCTGTGGGGTGATGAGGGGGAGGGAGGAGAAAGCAGGAGGGGGAAGGAGGGAGAGGATGAGGTGAGGAGGGGTGAGAAGGGGTCAGGAGGAGAGAGGAGGAGGGAGGAGGGGTGAGGGGGAGGAGGAGGAGGGATGAGGAGGAGGAGGAGGAGAGAGAGGAAGAGGAGGAGGGGGAGGAGGAGCAGGAGGAGAAGGAGGAGGAGGAGGAGCAGGAGGAGCAGGAGGAGGATGATGAGGAGGAGGAGCAGGAGGAGGAGGAGGAGGAGGAGGAGGAGCAGGATGAGGAGGAAAGGGACGAGGAGGAGGAGGACGAGGAGGAGGATGATGATGAGGAGGAGGCGGAGGAGGCGGAGGAGGAGGAAGATGAGGAGGGAAGAAAGGAGGAGTGATGAGGAGAATGAGGAGGATCATGGAAAGGACATAGGTCAGGATGACGACGAAGATGAGGAGGTGATGCTGATGATGCTGACTCTTCTGCTGCTGCTGCTGATGCTGATGATGCTTATGACGAAGCTGACGATGATGCTGACTATGATGACGATGATGATGATGCTGCTGTTGGTGCTGATGATGATGATGATGATGCTGATGATGCTGCTGCTGCTGATTATATTCATGAGGGTGATGACGATTATGCTGCTGCTGACGATGATGATGCTGATGATGATGGTGATGAATCTGCTGCTTCTGCTTATGATGATGATGAGGAGGAGGAAGAAGAGGAAGATGAAGAGGAGGAGGGAGGAGGAGGAAGATGAGGAAGAGGATGGGCTCCGAGGAGGAGTCGGAGGAGGAGTGAGGGGGAAAGGGATGGGGGGGGGAGGAGAAGGACAGGGAGGATGATGAGAGGGGAGGAGGGGAGGATGATGCGGAGAAGGTGGGATAAGCAACGGGGAGGATGAGGTGGTTGGTGGTGGTGGGGATGATGGGGATGACGATGATGCTGATGATGATGCTGTTGTTGATGATGCTGATGCTTATGATGATGATGATGATGATGATGATGATGATGATGATGATGATGATGATGATGATGGCGATCAAGGCGATTCTGATTACCACGACGACAATAATGATGACGATAATGCCGATGCAGATGCTGCTGTTGATGATAATAATGATGACGATGATGATGATGATGATGATGATGATGATGATGATGATCGTTGTGGTAGTTGTGGTGGTATGATTGTGGTGGTGGTGGTTGTGGTGAGATGCGGATGAGGATGGGAGTGACGATGTATGTGAACATGAGGATAGGTATTCTGATTCTGATGACCATGATGATGATCATGATGACGACGATGATGATAAAACTGTCTTTATAACGATGATGATGGTGGTGGTGCTGGTGGTGATGCTGATGATGGTAATGATGATGACGACGATGCCGATGATGACGACGATGACGAGAACGCCGATGATGATGATGCTTACGTTGATGGTGATGGTGATGTTGATGGTAATGAGGCCGAGGATGGCGATGCTGATGCTGATGATGATGATGCTCTTGAGGACGATGATGACGATGATGGTGATGAGGATGATTCTGCTGATGCTGCTGATGTTGGTGGTGATGATGATGCTGGTGGTTCTGATGGTGATGATGATCATGATGATGATGATGACGGCGATGCTGATGCTGACGACGACGATGATGATGAGCTTAATACTAGCAGTATCATTATTGTTATTCATTTGATGCCAATGATGATGATGCTGATGACGATGATGCTGCTGCTGATGCTTATGATTCTGCGGATGAGTATGACGAGGGGGAGGAAGCCACTGATGGTGATGATGCTGATGATGTTTATGATGATGATGATGATGATGATGATGATGTTGATGATGATGATGATGGTGATGATGATCGTTGCAGTCATGATGATGATGGCGATGATGATGTCGATGATGATGACGATTATGATGATGATGACGCTCATGATCATGTTGATGATGCTGATGCTGACGATGATGCTGATGATGATGATGATGATGGCGGGGATGATTCTGATGATGCTGATGCTGAGTCTGATGATGCTGATGCTGGTGATGATCATCATGATGACGATGATGGTGCTGACGCTGATGATGATGGTGATGTTGATGATGATGCTCATGATGCTGATGCTGATGCTGATGATGATGGTGATGGTTCTGATGCTTCTGCTGATGATGATGCTGCTGCTGACGATGATGCTGAGTATGCTGATGATGATGCCGATGATGACGATGCTAATGATGATGCTGATGCTGGTGATGATGCTGATGCTGATGATCATTTTGCTGCTGATGATGATGCTGATGCTATTGATTATGATGATTATGATGATGACGATGATGCTGATGATGATGCTGATGATGATGACGACGATGCTGATCATTATGATGATGCTGATGATGATGCTGATGATGAAGATGCTGCTGATGACGATGATGCTGCTAACGATGAGGCTGATGACGATGCTGATGCTGATGCTGATCTTGATGATGATAGTGATGTTGATGCTCATTATGATGTTGATGCTGATGATGCTGATGATGCTGATGATGGCGATGATGATGCTGCTGCTGATGCTGATGCTGATTATGATGCGGATGACGATGCTGATGGTGATGATGATTATGCTGATAATGATGATGCTGCTGATGATGCTGATCTGATGATGATGAGGATGATGCTGATGCTGATGATGATACTGATGATGATGATGATGATGATGATGATGATGATGATGATGATGATGCTGATGCTGATGCTGATGCTGATGCTGGTGATGATGCTGCTGATGATGACGACGATGATGACGCTGCTGTTGGTGAGGATGATGATGCCGATGGTGCTGATGATGATGTTGCTGATGATACTGGTGACACTGATGATGCTTGTGATGCTGAGGAGGAGGACGCGGAAGAGGATGATGATGAGGATGGGGATGGGGATGAGGATGAGGATGATGATGATGATGAGGATGCTGGTGCTGATGATGATGCTGATGATGATGATGCTGATGCTGATGCTGATGATGATGATGCTGATGATGATGCTGTTGATGATGATGATGCTGCTGCTGATGATGCTGATCTGAGGATGATGATGATGATGATGATGATGATGCTGATGATGATGATGATGATGATGATGATGATGATGATGATGATGATGATGATGATGATGATGATGATGATGATGCGGAGGAGGAGGAGGAGGAGGAGGAGGAGGAGGAGGAGGAGGAGGAGGAGGAGGAGGAGGCAGAGAATGGGCGCTGCTGAAGCCTGGGGGCGGGGAGGGAGAAGGCGATGCAGGCCTCCCAGACGGGGCCGACGTAGATGGGGCCGCCATAGGATCGCGCCGCACGGCCGATAAATCGGAGTGACGGCGCAATCCGGAGCCCGTTCTTCTCCATCCCGCCGTCGCTGATGTGATGCATCACCGATGCGGCGCGATCCTCCGACTCCATCCGCTCTGGCCTCATTTGGGAGGCCTCCAGGATAGCGGAGGAAGATGAGGGAGGAGGAGGAGGAGGAGGAAGAGGGGGAGGAAGAGGAAGAGCAGGAGGAGGAGGAGGAGGAGGAGGAGGAGGAGTAGGAGGAGGAGAAAGAGGGTGAAGAGGAGGAGGAGGAGAAGGAGGCGGGAGGAGGAGGAGGATGAGGAGGAGGAAGACGAGGAGGAGGTGGAGGAGGTGGAGGAGGAGGAGGAGGAGGAGGGGGAGGACTCTGACCATATGACAATGTCAATGCTGCCAACGTGAACAAGCATCATGAATTACACGTTTGCGTGCGTTGAGATACCTGCTCTGCTTTGCTAAGGACCTTTGGCCAGAGCCCTTGGGCAATGCGGCACAACTATTCAGCTCTGTTAGGCGTGGGCCGAGGGTTACACATTTGACCGAACATACGAAGCTGACGATCTCCGTATCAACCGCATCCTACACAGCACCACAGCTTAATACCCCCATGGAGCTGCATTTTGTGGCTGGAGCGGGCAACTCCACCAGCAAGGTGTACACAGGCCCCTGGGGATCTAGAACACATCACGCCATCATAGCTGACTGGAAAGAAGCACGGGGTCCTCAGCCACTCGGTGCTCTTCAGCGAGCGTGGCCGACCCTCCGCACCTGGAGCCTCCGCGCCCCGACTCGCCCACGGCATGGGTGGATGCGAGAGGGGCGAGAGAGGCGGCACCATGAGGAGGAAGGGGAGGGGCGCACGTCCATTTTCCTGCGGGTCCCTGTCTTCAGCCGCCAGCGCGTCGAGGGTTGCTCTAAGAATTCCCATTCTGGCCAGCCGAGCTTTGCTTCATTCAACAGGACCCTGCAACGACCCCCTTCGTCCAGGCGAGCCTCGGCAGCTGCCTGGCCAGCTAGCTCGTCATTGATCAGGTTGCCTGCCACGAGCCAGCGGGCTGATCTCCCTGCGGCAATGCCACGTGCCGTGTGATGGGAGTTGGTGAATACAACAGAGATGCAATCGCCAGCGCGGGTGCGCAACAGCAAACCGAGCGTGGCCCACAAGTCGGCGTCCTCGCCGCTGGGCTGGCCGTACCTGCGAGCATACCACCCTACCACAACTGACTCACAAACTGAAACAAAGAGGATGTAGCCCGTGGTTCGCCAAACCGCTACAGCCAGGGCTCGAAGTTCGCCACGTGCCACCACCTGCCCGGGCCCTGCGAGCGGGCCCCTGACAGTTGAAGCAAGACGGATGTGCAACTCCCAGGCGTGAAAAAAGGCGAGGCCGATGCCGACCCTCCTGACTAGTTTTCTGTGGGTGTCGGGGCCTCCGCTGGCGCCGCCGAACGCAAAACGAGGCGCCTGCTCCGTGCCGCCTGCAGCCAACCGCTCGCCGAACAGCTCCCCGGCACCCGCCGACGACTCAGCATCCGTCGGCGCTGGAGCTGCTGTCCAGGGCGAGGGCAGGAGGCCGCGTCGCCAGACGCCCTGGTCCGTGTCCGACTGCACCAGAGCCCTCCAGCACCAGACCCTCAGAATCCGTGTGCGCTGCCTTG